TGTAGTTCCACCTACTCGTGAGGCTGAGGCAGTAGAACTGCTTGAACCCAGGAGGCAGAGGTTGCAGTGAGCTGAGATTGTACCACTGCACTCCAGCCTGGCTGACAGCACAAGACTTCGTCTCAAAAATAAAATAAAATAAAGTTCAACATCCTTTCCTGATAAAAATCCTCAACAAATTGGGCACAGAATTTGTGCCTCAACATAATAAAGATCATATGTGACAAAAACCACACCTAGCATCATACTTGATAGGGAAGAATTGAAAGCACTCCCTGTAAGAACTGGAACAATACAAACATGTCCACTTTTACCACTGTTACACAACACAACACTGGAAGTTCTCACAAGTAGAATTGGGCAAGAAAAAAGTTAAAAGTATCCATATGGAGGCCGAGCATGGTGGCTTACATCTGTAATCCCAGCACTATGGGAGGCTGAGGCAGGCAGATCATGAGGTCAGGAGTTGGAGACCAGCCTGACCAACAGAGTGAAACCCCATTTCTACTAAAAAATACAAAAATTAGCCAGGCATGGTGGTGCATGCGTGTAGTCCCAGCTACTTGGGAGGCTTAGGCAGGAGAATCACTTCAACACGGGAAGTGGAGGTTGTGGTAAGCTGAGATGGCGACACTGCACTCCAGCCTGGGCAAAAGAGCGAGAACTCTGTCAAACAAAACAAAACAAAACAAAACAAAACAGCCATATGGGAAAAGAGGAAGTCCAATTATGCCTATTGCTGATATGATCTTATACCTAGAAAACCCTAAACACTCCACCAGAAAACTCTTAGATTTGATACATGAATTCAGTAAAGTTTCAGAATATAAAATTGATGTACAGAAATCTATAGCATTTCTATACATCAATAACAATCTAGCTGAAGACCAAATCAAGAAGGGAATCCCATTTATAATAGCTACAAATAAAGAAGAAAGACAACCCAGGAGTATTGTTAACCAAGGAGGTGAAAGATCTCTATAAGGAGAACTACAAAATGCTAATGAAAGAAACTGTAGATGACACAAAGGAAAAACAGCCCATACTCATGGACTGGAAGAATAAATATTGTTAAAATGACCACACTGCACAAAGCAATCTACAGATTCAATACAATCCTTATCAAATTACCAGTATCATTATTCATAGCATCAGAAAAAATAATCCTAAAATTAATAGGGAACAAAAAAAAAAGTCAAATAGCCATAGCAATCCTAAGCAAAAAGAATAAGAGCATCACATTATCTGACTTAAAATTATACTGCAAGGCTATAGTAACCGAAACAACATGGTACTGATATAAAAACAGAACAGGGCTGGGCATGGTGGCTCACACCTGTAATCCCAGCACTTTGGGAAGCCAAAGCAGGCAGATCACCTGGGGTCAGGAGTTCAAGATCAGCCTGGCCAACATGGAGAAACCCTGTTTCTGCTAAAAATATCTACTAAAAATATACTAGGCATGGTGGTGGCCACTAAACAATGTATACGCATGAACATATGGAGTAGAATGACACTGGTGACTATTAAAAGTGTGAGGATGGGAGGGGGGTGAGGGTTGAAAAATTACCCATTGGATATAATGTTCACTATTTGGGTGATGATGGGTACACTAAAAGCCAAACTTCAACACTACACAATATACACATGTAAAAAAAATGCACTTGTATTCCTTAAACATATAAAAAATTAGAAAGAAAAAAAAAGTGAAGGTGAAGCAAGCAGTAAGCATTCAGGAGAAGCAGCATCAGCACTCCCAGGCCACAAGGACAGCTGAGCTGTGGGTTCTGTAACCAACTGCTCTCTGCTGGTGAGTGGAAAGAATGGACCAAAAGTTCATTTCAGGTTGGAAGTGTCAAGGGATGATCAGGGATCTTTTTCAGCCTTTTAATAGAGAAAAATTCAAACTTAAAAAAAAACAGACAGAAGAGTATAAAATAGCCCCATGCAACTTTACCTAGCTTTGACAATGTATCAACTCATGGCCAATCTTGTGTCATGTACCTCTTACCCATTTCCCTCTGCCATGGTTTATTTTGAAGCAAATTCCAGACATCGTATCATTCCATCTGAAATTATTTTAGTATGCATGTCTAAAAGAAAGGGGATTTTTTTTTAAAAAAAGCTCCATAACACCATCATTATCACAACTGAAAAATAATTAACAATAATTCTAATAATTCTTTATAATATGGGATGCCAAAAACAAAACAAATCATCAAGCCTCACCCAAGGAGGATCATGGCAAGGGAGAGGCAATCATGCAAAATTCAGATTAACAGCATGAATCACCCAGCTTCAGTCTTGTCCAAGTAAACTAGCAGCAACATAGATTAAATGAATATCTTAATTGGAAATGCAAAGCCACAGACCCAAATGGTAGGAAAATCTTTAGTTCAGTAGATGTGACACATGTGCTACTGAGACTTTATTGAAACTTTTTAAAATTTATAAAATAACATATATATATTATGTATAATTTTTTCTTGAGATAGGGTCTCACTCCACTCAGACTGAAATGCAGTGGTGCAATCTCAGCTCAATGCAGCCTCGACTTCCTGGGCTCAGGTGAGTCTCCTATCTCAGCCTCCTGAGTCTGGGACTACGGGGGGGCACCAATTGGCCCAACACATTTTGTGTATTTTTTATAGAGATGGAGTTCCGCCATGTTGCCCAGGCTGGTCTCCAACTCTTGGACTCAAGTGATCCTCCTGTCTTGGCCTCCTAAAGTGCTGGGATTACAGGTGTGAGCCACCATGCCTGGCCTTGTTGAATCTTCTCAAGGATTCAGGAGGGCAACAATGTCCTTGAGGGCCAAATGCTCAGAGAGGCATCCAAGTAGTTGGGCTATGAGACACTAAGAGGTGTGACCACACCTGCTCCCCAGCAATCTCAAACCCAGGGATCAGAATTAGGTTGAAAGATCATTCCCCTTTTTGGGCTACCTTTGTGCTATTTCTCCCTTTCTTGCAAATTTCTGTGAGAACGTCTGTTTCTCTTTCTAGATTATAAGCCTCTAGAATACAGTAAGGCATTTGACATGGTTTGGCTCTGCACCCCCATGCAAATCTCACCCTGAATTGTAATAATCCCCACATGTTGTGGGAGGGACCTGGGGGGGAGGTAATTGAATCATGAAGGTGGGTCTTTCCCATGCTGTTCTCATGATAGTGAATAAGTCTTGTGAGATCTGATGGTTCTATAAAGGGGAGTTCCACTGCACATGTGCTCTTGCCTACTGCCATGTAAGACATGATTTTGCTCCTCATTCGCCTTCCACCATGATTCTGAGGTCTCCCTAGCCACGTGCAACTGTGAATCAATTAAACCTCTTTCCTTTATAAATTACCCAGTCTCAGGAATGTCTTTATTAGCAGCATAAGAACAGACAAATACAGCATTATGGTCACTTTTGTATCCCGAGTGGCTGGCACATGAGAGATGCTCAATGGATGCTTGCATGAAGAAAGCCTGGACTAGAAAAGTCAATCACTTGATAAAGCCAAGTGTTGGAAAGAATGGAGAGAAAAGAGGATTCTCATACTCTGCTTGTGGGATGATGAATTGATACAGCCACTCTGGAGGACAACTAGCAATATCCAAAGAGATGTTCAAATATTTAGGCCACAAAACAAGAACAGGACACAAAAAAACAGGAGCCTTTGGAGAACAGTAAGAAAAGAAAGAGTTCCTGGAAATTACAAACACTTAACAGAAGGGTTGGAAGCTAAACTTGAGAAATTTGAGAAAATCTTCCAAAGCAGAGCAAAAGAAAAAAGAGATAAAAAATAGAAGACAAAAGAAAGAAAACCAAAGGACTAACCTAGGAGGTCCAGTACCTGAATAAAAAGAGTTCCAGAAAGAGAACAGAGAAAACAGATGGGATAAAATTAAAGAAAGAATTTAAAACATTTTCTTATATCCTTATATTCTGACTTTCCCAACCGAAAGAGCAATGAGTTCCTGGTAAAACACATAAAAACAGACTCACATCAAAGCATATCACTGAGAGAATTCAGAACACTGGGGAAAAACAAAGACCTAACAAGCTTCCAGAAATAACATACACAAAGGATCAAGAATCAGAATGGCTTTGGATATAGACTATAATCCTAGAAGTAAAAGATAAATGCAGCAATGATCTCAAAATTCTAAAGGAAAGTGATTTCTAATCTATACCCAGACTAACCATTAATTATGGGTGAAGGCAGACAAAAAAGACTTTCAGACATACATGGTCTCTAATGTGCCTTCCATGTTCCCTTTCTTAGGAAATTACAGGAAAATGTGCTTCACCGAAATGGGAGGGTGCACCAAGAAAGGTAAAGACATGAGATACAGGAAATGGGGGACTCCCTAGAGGGGACAGTGAAGACACTCTCCATGGGAGAACATTGTGCAGGAAGGAAAGGTGTACTATGTGGCTCACCACACCATTAAACTGAAAACTAATCAGCCAAAACCACAAGACAACAATATTAGGAGGACAGAGGGATAGGAGGGTGAGAACATTGAGGAGGGTAGGTGCCAGAGTTGAATTCTAACCTCCTATAGAGAGAAGTCAATAGATGACACCTGAAGTTGAAACGTAGAGAAACGGCAATAAAAACAAAAATAACCCACTAAGAGAGATGGAAGCAGGTGTCTCTGAGAAGGGGAAGACAAGAGGGAGCACAGGTGCTGTTTTTGCAATGCTATGCATCTCTAACTTTGATAAATATAACAATATGAGGAATATACCCTGCACACAGTAAGTTTCTCAGAAAATTCAGAAGGGCAATAAAGCTTCCAACAGCACTGCCAGTGGTCTGACATTGTTAGACCCCCAGATTCTGCTCCGGTTTGCCTGTTTGTACCTTACTGCAATATCCCAGTTTTTTGGCCATCAAAGCTCAGCATTTCACAAGTGCTTACAACATACAAAGCTTTAAACTGTAACCAAGATTGTGGAAGCCACTCAATCAGCAGATATGTTATACATGGATTTCTGAAGCTCTTACCAGCAGTAAAAATGCCTTTGGTGCTCTGTCTTATACTAGAAGGTCTCACGATTGCTGAAAGCCCTGAGAGAAAAAGCCAAAAAGGGGACCAAAAAAACCCAAAACAGATGTTAGTCATCTTACCAGTTTTAAAACTTGAAAATAATATTCTTTTTCTAGTCAGCCAATAAAACCACCAAATCTATCTCGGTCCTGCTGTCACAGTGACAGTGAAAAGGGCACTGGGATTGAGAGGGTCAGGAGACTGGAGCAGCCAGCCATGGCGCCACCCGGCTGTGTGAGTCCAGGCTGATGACTGAACAGCTCTGGGCCTCCTCCCTTTAAAACTAGGCGGTGGGTTAGCTGACCCTCAAAGGACATTTTATGACTTAAATCTGCTTGAGATTTCTGGTTCTCAATTCCATAACATGAAAAGATAAAAACCAAATGATTATACCTATGAGAAAAACTTTCATTCTGAAAACATATATACGGATTCCACAGTAAGGAGCAAGTTTCACTCTCCTCAAAGAGACAGCCCAGATCACACTGCTGCCAGGATCATGGTCAAACAAACAACAGTGTGTCTAATACAGAGCTCTCTTCAGGATGGGGAGCTAGTGATCTCTACACACGGTCTGCAAACCTAGTGCAGGCCCAGGAGAAGAGTGGGAGTGGAGTGCTTGCTGCGGCTGATGTTCCACTGCAGTGTGATAGTCTTTGCAAAGCATTACTGGAAATTGTATCTGGCACCCAGAGAAGCTCAGTGAATATTCACTGAATGAAAACAGGAGAATGCACTCAATTGAGAGAGGGACTCATTCTCAATCTCAGAAATATTTCTTGATTGACTGATCTTAGAAATTACCTTTAGCACCTTAAAAGGCAGTTAGTCTCTGAAGATAAGATTCAGGTTTTGTTTTTTTTTCAGAGATAAGGGCTGCTTTATCACCCAGTGGTGCGATCTTAGCTCACTGCAGCCTCCAACTACTCAAGTGATCCTCCCACCTTAGACTCCCAAGTTAGCTGAGATTATAGGCACATGCCACCATGCCCAGCTAATTTTTCAATTTTTGCAGAGACAGGGTCTTGCTCTGTTGCCCAAGCTGGTCTTAAAACTTCTGGCCTCAAGTGATTCTCCCTCCTGGGCCACCTAAAGTGTTGCAGAAACCCACCTGGCCTGGATTCAGAGTTTTGGATAAACATTAGGGCAGTGCTGGGGAAAATGCTGTGGAACATGCGCCATGTCTAAGTGAATGCACTGAACACTGTATGAGACACATCAAATGTAGTTGGTTGAGGAAAGCTGTGTTCTCAATGTTATAAAAGCACAAAAAATGCCACCAATCTCTTTTCTCAGGCCACCACAAAGAACACAGACACCTTTTAAATAAATTGTAGAAGTTGTGTTACAGGAACCAAAAGAAACATTGTTTCTCCCTTTGACAGTGATTTAGGATCCAGGTAAAATTAGAAGTATTTTCACCATCTTACTTCAAACAAGTAAAAATTCAGATTTAGAAAACCCTCAAATTTTTAGTGTTTTCTTCTTCTGAGAGGCAATCTCTCTATCTCACTAAACAAGAAGGAAGAAATAATACATTCCAATCACAAACAAAGTCTGCTTTCCCCTACAGCTGGCACTTCCTCAACATCAAATTCATAAACGTACCTAGTCGCACCACATCTCCACAGTCGGGGTCATGAGCCACTTGGAATAAAGTTTCTTCCACATCTCTGTTTTTTCCAGGAGGGTCCATAATATGATTTATCTGTTGCTGTAAGCTTTTGGGCAATGTCATCAGCTGAGTGAACTGTCCTTCTGGGCTTTTATCTATCTGAGGGGATAAAAAAAGAAGATGTCTACGGAAATGCTTTCAATTCTATAAATACTCAAACACACAGGCTTCCCTTTAAAAATCACACAAACATATATGCACCACACACCCCCGGTGAGGCAAGCAAGCTAAGGAGACTCTCTTTTCTGAAACTGAATGTATACGTGTTCAGGAGTCTAAGTCCCTTCAAAAAGGATAATTATTGTTTTGTAATATTTCATTACTACTTGAGAAAAGAATAGAAGCCACTCCCAAGGATCAATTTCTGACTTTTGGTTTTAAAATTTGTATTTGTCTTAAATCCAGCAGTCAAAGGAAGTGGTGCTTCAGTTGACACTCATGAAGGCTGCATCAAATCCAGGTGCTAAGGTGACCCTTCCCATTTCAAACACAAGGAGACTGGCATGCCCTGATTACACCGTCAGTGAGACTGAGGGGGATCTGAATTGTGTTTCCTGCCCAAAGGGCCTTTTACTATGCTGTACTTCACAAACTGTAGGAATACACTGATGACAGAAACTAATCTTACTTTTAATCCCTGGCACACAGTAGGTACTCAAAAAACAATAAGGAAATAAATAACTGAATCAATACAACTTAGTTGTCCTAAAGCTACTATGCCAGTGGCTTCTGTTCCCAAAGTATTCTAAAACATACTAAGATGCTTAAGATAAATGTATAAATAAAACACATAAAACTATGTGTCAGACTTTACTTAGAAACCCTTGAATCAAAAGTTAGCCACAGAGCTGAGGCCAGACCTAGCTTTCCTAACTCCCAGTTTCATACACTGTGCCTCATGGAATGAATTTTTTAAAATCTTGTAAACATTGATTTCCTGCCAAGTGCAGAACAAGTAACACTGCCCTCAACAGTTTATCACATTATTTCCCAAGGAAGAATCTGTCCTGTATCATTTAACAAATATTTAGGTTTTAACTTAAACTAAAAGAACAGTAAGAAGAAATCAGATGAAGGTATTACATTTTAGGCTTACAGTTTATAGATAAGACCAACTTTTTTTTTTCTTTGAAAGAGAAAAAAGAAAGGAAGAAAAAGAAAAGAGAGAAAGAAAAAAAGAATGAAAGAGGGAAAGAAAGAGGAAGAAAAAGAGGGAGAATGGGAATCTTGCTTTATTGCCCAGGCTAGAATGTAGTCTAAAAATGTGTATTGAAAACCTCTTTTATGCCAATAAATGTGCTTAACAATGGAGACAGGAAAGAATAAGGGAAGAAAATAACAAACAAGCAGCCAACCAACATTTCATTTAAACCTGTGAAATGCTGTGCAATTGCTGAGGAGTGATTTACTTCCAATTATGTGGTCACTTTTAGAATAGGTGTGATGTGATACTGAGAAAAATGTATGTTTAGTGGATTTGGGGTGGAGAGTTCTATAAATGTTTATTAAGTTTACTTGTTCCAAGTCTGAGTTCAAGTCCTGGATATCCTTGTTAATTTTCTGTCTCGTTGATCTGTCTAATATTGACAATGTAGTGTTAAAGTCTCCCACTATTATTGTGTGGGAGTCTAAGTCTCTTTATAAGCCATTAAGAACCTGCCTTATGCATCTGGGTGCTCCTGTATTGGGTACATATATATTTAGGATCATTAGCTCTTCTTGTTGAATTGATACTTTTACCCTTATGTAATGTCCTTCTTTGTTGCTTTAAAATCCATTTTATCAGAGAAGAGAATTGCAACTCCTACCTTTTTTTTTTTTTCTCTCCATTTGGTTGGTAAATCTTCTTCCATCCCTTTGTTTTGAGTCTTTGTGTATCCTCGCATGTGAGATGGGTCTGGATACAGTATACCGATGGGTTCTGGCTTTTTATCCAATTTGCCTGTCTGTGTCTTTAGATTGGGACATTTAGTCCATTTAAATTTAGGACTGATATTGATATATGTGAGTTTAATACTGCCATTTAATGCTGGCTGGCTGTTTTGCCCATTAGTTAATATAGATTCTTCATTATGGTGATGCTCTTAACCTTTTGGTATGTTTTTGGAATGACTGATACTGGTTGTTCCTTTCTATATGAAAAGCTTCTTTCAGAAGCTCTTGTAAACCAGGCCTGGTGGTGATGAAATCTCTGAGTACTTGCTTGTTTGCAAAAACAATTATTTTTCCTTTACTTATGAAGCTTAATCTGGCTGGATATGAAATTCTGGGTTGAAAGTTCTTTTCTTCAAGGATGTCTCTTCTGGCTTGTAGGGTTTCTGCTGAGAGATCTGCTGTGAGTCTGATAGGCTTCCCTTTGTGGGTAACCTGACCTTTCTCTCTGGCTGCCCTTAGTATTTTCTCCTTCATTTCAACCCTGGTGAATCTAATGATTATGTGCCTTGGGGTTGCTCTTCTTGAGGAATATCTTTGTGGTGTTCTCTGTATTACCTGGAGTTGAATATTGTCCTGCCTTGCTAAGTTGGGAAAGTTTTCCTGGATAATATCCTGAAGAATATTTTCCAGCTTGGATTCATTCTCTTTGTCACATTCAGATACACCTATCAAATGTAGATTAGGTCTTTTTACATAGTCCTATATTTCGTGGAGACTTTGCTCATTCCTTTTTACACTTTTTTCTCTAATCTTGTCTTCTCGTTTTATTTCATTAAGTTGGTCTTCGACCTCTGATATCCTTTCTTCTGCTTGATCAATTCGACTGTTAAAACATGTGCATACTTCACGAAGTTCTCGTATTGTGTTTTTCAGCTCCATTAATTCACTTATATTCCTTTCTTAATTGTCTATTCTCGTTAGCATTTCGTCAAACCTTTTTTCAAGGTTCTTAGTTTCTTTGCCTTGGGTTAGAACACGTTCTTTTAGCTCACCGAAGTTTCTTATTATCTACCTTCTGAAGCCTGATTCTGTCCATTTATCACACTCATTCTCCATCAGGCCTTGTTCCGTTGCTGATGAGGAGCTGTGATCCCCTGTAGGAGGAGAGACATTCTGATTTCGGGTGTTTTCAGACTTTTTGTGCTGGTTTCTCCCTGTCTTTGTGGATTTATCCACCTGTCGTCTTTGTAATTACTGACTTTCAGATTGGGTCTCTGAGTGGATGTCCAGCTGGTTGGTGGTGATGTTTTTTCTGTTTCTTCGTTTTCCTTCGGCGGATGCCCCTCCTCCACAGAGCTGGACCTTCCCGGGTTCAGCTATGCTTGCTGTGAAACTCTCAATCCTCAGTGCTTCCAATTGCTGTTTTTTTGTGGGGAAATTTCCCCTGTGGCAAACCACTGCACCGGCTGAAACACCAGTGTTGAGATTCATGGCGCTTTCTGCCTGGGAATCTCTCGGTCTGGCTCCCCGCTTCAGTCTCCTTTTCAATCAGCTGAATGGGCGACTCTGCCTTCCCGGAGCTCCAAACACCAACTAAAAGGGCACCCAGTCCCATATCCTCCTCACTGAGAACCGCTGGGCTGGGGCACCGGCAAAACAGCCGCATCAGCCAAGAGTCGCGCTGGCGACCTGTGGGGCTCCTCTGCTGGGAATCTCCTGGTTTGTGGGCAACAAAAATTCATCTGAAATTGTGGCGTCCACTCACTCTCCGCGCTTTCACTGGGAACTACAATGCTGAGCTGGTGCTAATCAGCCATCTTGGATCTCTCTCCACTTTTGTTTTTTTTTGAGATGGAGTCTTGCTCTGTCACCAGGCTGCAGTGCAGTGGCGCAATCTCAGCTCACTGCAACCTCGGCCTCCTGGGTTCAAGAGATTCTTCTGCCTCAGCCTCCCGAGTAGCTGGGACCACAGGCGCCCGCCACCACTTTTTTGTATTTTTAGTAGGGACAGGGTTTCACCATGTTGGCCAGGATGGTCTCGATCTCTTGACCTCGTGATCCGCCTGTCTTGGCCTCCCAAAGTCCTGGGATTACAGGTGTGAGCCACTGCGCCTGGCAGATATGACCAACTTTCTTAATAATTAGAATCTACTCATTCTACCATTTTTTAATTGAATAAATATTTATTAAGTATATACTAAATGGGCCAGTCAAATAGATTTATACCTGTAATCCCAACAGTTTGGGAAGCCAAGTCAGGAGGATTGCTTGAACCCAGAAATTCAAGTTCAGCCCTAGCAAAACAGTGAAATATCCAGCTCTATGAAAATTTAAAGAAAGAAAGAAAGAAAGAAGAAGCCAAACATGGAGGTGCACGCCTATAGTTCTGTCTACTTAGGAGGCTGAGGTAGGAGGATCATTTGAGCCTGGGAAGCTGAGGCTTCGATCAGCTGTGATTGTGCTACTGCACAACAGCCTGGGCAACAAGAGTGAGACTTTAAAAAAAAAAAGTATATACCAAATGCCTGAATTTTCTAGTTTTGTCTATAAAATCTATGCAGAGATAAGAAAATGTTATTATTTAATGACTCTAATGAAGGTAGAGGGGTGAATATTTAGGTTTTTATCTAAATGTTTGATATTTATCATTAGGATGTTTCTAAATTCACAGGCCCCATCCTCTATTTAGCTTTGGCTACAAAAATGACAATAAATGTGAGCATTTCTGTAAAATAATCTTAGAAATGACATTTATGGACTTATGTTTTGAGGCCACATATTGGGATTAGGTAGAATAAACTTATATTTAAGTTATGGTTTACCTATGAAGCTTCCAGGAATTTTAGAGATGTCATAATGGCTTGAGTGACATATAAAAAATTAGAAAGTTGGCTGGGTGCGATGGCTCACACTTGTAATCCCAGCACTTTGGGAGGCTGAGGTGGGCAGATCACAAGGTCAAGAGATTGAGACTATCCTGGCCAACACGGGGAAAACCTGTCTCTACTAAAAATATAAAAATTAGCTGAGCCTTGTGGCACACACCTGTAGTCCCTCCTATTCAGGAGGCTGAGGCAGGAGAATTGCTTGAACCTGGGAGGCAGAGGTTACAGTGAGCCGAGATTATGCCATTGCACTCCAGCCTGGCAACAGAGCAAGATTCTGTCTCAAAAAAAAAAAAAAAAAAAAATTAGAAAGTAGTATTTGCCACTGCTTTCCCTTGA